TCTCAATCACCCTCTCAGTGGGCCCCAGGGGCAGGGCCAGCAGCATGGCATGCCAGGGATCGAACTCCAGCCTCTGTGCTCTGCCTAAGCAGGCACTTCAGTCCACTGAGCTATCTGGCCAGCCCTGTGCAAAACCAGTTCTAAAAGGGACATTTTTGTTGTGCTGACATATAATTCTAGCACATGGGAGTGCTGGCATATAATTCTAGCACATGGGAGGCTGAGTCAAGAGGACTGTCATGAGTTCAAAGCCAGCCTGAGTTACTCAGTGAGTTCAAGGCCAGTTTAAACTACACAGTGAAACCCTGTCTCAAAAAATAAATAAAATAAAATAAAAAGGATATTTTAAACACTAGTTGCCTTTATCATGAAAGAAAAAAGATATAAAATAAACAGCCTAATCTTATGCCTCAGATAACCACTAAAAGGAGAAAAAAATACCATTTACAATATTATAAAAAAATACTTGGGAGTAAATTTAACCAAATAAGTGAAAGAAGATCTATAAACTAAAAACTAAGTCAAAATTTAGTAAAAGTAAGAAAAGATATAGACTAGTGAATAAATAAACGACAGGGACTAATTGATTCACTCTAAACTCAATAAGACTTGAGTTGTTCAATGAGATAGAATTGTTTCTACAAAACATAAGCAAAACTGACAAGCTCTTAGCTAGAATATTTTACTCTTTCATAGTTAAAATCTAAAATAAAACAAAAGATGTTACAGCCAATAATACAAATGCAAACATCATGGGAGACTACTATGTGTACTTGCTATATACTCAAATAAATTGGACAACCTAGGAGAAATGGATAAATGCTTGAAACATGTAACCCACCATGATTGAATTATGAAGATATTAAAAAATTTGAATAAATCAATAATGAACAAGGGGATTGATAATTAAAGTCTCCCATCAAAGAAAAGTGCAGAAAGAAATAGCTTTACAGCTGAATTCTTCCAGTCATTTAAAGAACAACTAATATCATCCTTCTCAGACTCTTCCAAAAAATTAAAAAGGAAGGAATATTTCCAATCTCATTCTATAAAGCCAGCATTACCTGACGCTAGAGGTAAATGTACTATCAGAGAAAAACAGAGGTCCATATCCCTGTTCAACATAGATTTAAAAAATCCTCAACATATCACCAGAAGTAATATATTAAAAGATATCATCACTCTCATTAACTGGGGTTTATCTCTGGGTGAAAGGTGGCTCAACATGTGCAAACTAGTAAATGTGATTTACTGCGTCAACAGAATGGAGACCAAAACCGGTAAGACCATTTCAATACAGTGGAAAAGATATTTGAAAAAATTTGACATCTTTTTTGATAAAAGACAACAAATTATGTACAGAAGAAATGTTCTTCAACATACTAAAGGCCAAATATGAAAAACTAATGACTAACAAGCTCAACAGTGAAAGGGCAAGGGCCTCTCCTCTGTGACCAGAAGCAAGACAAGAATGACCACTAGCGCCATTTCTGTTTAGCACCTTCCCAGAATTTCTAGCCACAGCAACCAGTCAAGAAGAAAAAGCAGCATCTAGGTTGGAAAGGAAGGAAGTGAAATCATCTGTCTGGGGCCGGAGAGATGGCTTAGTGGAATAAGCGCTTCCCTGGCAAGCGCAAGAGCCAGAATTCAATGTCCAGTTCTGCCAAAAAAAGTAAAAAATCATCTGTCTGCTGACCACATAAGTGTATGGGTAGAGCACCCAAAAAAGCCCTACCACATCACTATTAAAACAGTTAAAGGAATTCAGTAAAGTTACAGGATACAGTGTCAATCTACAAAAAGCATTAACATTTTTATATACTAAGAAGGTACTATCTGAAAAAGAAATTTTAAAAGTCTCCCCTACAATAGCTCAAAAGCAGTAGAAATACAGTTAGGCAAGGAAATAATAAATCCATATACTTCAAACTCTAAAATATTGATGAAAGAAACTAGACATAATACAAATAAATGAAAAGTTAGGCCATGTCCACGGGTTGGAAGAATTTCTTTAAATGTCCATGCTGCCCAAGTAATCTGCAGATTTGGTACAATCCCATTCACATAATAAAGGCATTGTTTACAGAACTTGAAAAATAATTCTAAACCTCATATGGAATCGCGAAAGACTTTGAATAGTGAAAGCATTCTTGAGAATAATAAAACTTTAGGCATTATACTGCTAGAGTTCAAAATATATTATAAAAGCCTTGTCATAAAAGCAGCACAGCACCTGCATACATACAGAAATGTGGACTAGGATAGCGCTCAGGATAACATGCACACACCTATGGTCAGCTGATTTTCTACAGAGGTCCCGAGAATGTGTAATGCAGAAAGAAGAGTCCTTCAGTAAGAAGTGCTAGAAAAATGGACATGCAGGTACAGAAGAGTGAAAACGACTTCTTATCGCAAATTTTATATAAGAGTTAAAATGAATTAAACTGACGTTACATGGCCTTAAATCATAAAACCAGCAAAACAAAAAATAGGGGGAAACTGCGACACTGATGAGGGGAAAGACTGCAGTGAAAGCAAAATTGGACAAAAGAGATTGCATCAAGCTGAAAAGTTTCAGTGTAGCAAAGGAAGCAGAAGAATGAAGAGACAACCAACAGACTGGGAGGAATTACTTACAAATCATATCTCAGAAAAAGAGATACTATCTAAAATATACAAAAATCTCAAGTGACTCAATAAGAAGAAACCTAATAACAATACTAAAAATGGGCAAAGGACCTGAATAGATGTCCTCCAAAGAAAACATATAATGCAAATGATCAACAGGTATATGAAAAATTCTCGACTCCCTGCCCTACCCAGTGTTGAGAACTGAATCCAGGGATTTGTTCATATTAGGCAAGGGCTGTACCCTGATCCATGTCCTGATCCCAATGTTCAAGATCTCTAATCATCAGAGATACAAATTAAAACCACAATGAACTACCACTTCACACACACTAAACTGGCTATTATTGAACAGTTGAAAAATGAAAAGGTTAGCATCTTCTCATGGTGGTGTAGTGCTGTAGTCCCAGCACTCAGGAGGTTGAGGCAGGAGGATCACTGCAAGTTTGAAACAAACCTGGGGTACAAAGTGGGCTCAAGTCCAGCCTTCTCAAGGGCTGCATAGTGAGACACTGTCTCAAAAAGACAGACAGACAGACAGACAGACAGACAGACAGACAGACAGACAGGAAGGGAGGGAGGGAGGGAGGGAAGGTTAACAAGGGCACACAGGGAAAGTAACACTTGCCCACTATTGGGACCATTATGAATTAGTATAGTCACTTTGGGAATAAACACACAAGTTCTTCAAAACTAGAGGTACAATCACCATGTGATCCAATAATTTCATTTCTGGGTATATACCAAGAGAAATAGAATCAAGTGTGTTGAAGAGATACCAACATTCCTGCTTTCATTATTCATAACACTAATAATTAACAGATATTTAAAATGTGGTATTTATACACACAGTCAGATATCACTCAGCCTTTAAAAAACAGGAAATTCTGTCATTCAACAAAATGTGGGGAGACCTGGAGGAATTATGCTGAGTGAAATAAGCCATGCACAGATGGATGAATACTGCACAATTTCATGTATGTACAGAATTTATAAAAATCATGGAAGCATGAAGAAAACAGAATGGTGGTTACTTGAAACTGTGGTTGGGCAGAGATTTGATCAGGAAAGGGGTGAAGGTGGATAAAAAGGCTTAGTTATCCAAGGGAACAGGTTGATCACAGGTAACAAAATCATATTGCATATTTTAAACTATTTAGAATAATGGATTGTAAATGATTTCACTACAAATAAATGATAAGTATTTAAGGGGTGTATATGTTAACTAACCCAATTTGATCACTCCACATTTGTGTAAATATAAGACACTATCACATTTTGCCTCATAATATATCATTTATGAATTGAAAATCAAACAAAGACAAAAAGTCTGAGCATGTAGTGTGCATTCAATGAATATAAATTGACAGAAAGATTATTAAAGAAGCATTCACTTCCTTTTTTAAATTTACTTGCTACAAGGTCTCGCTATGCAGTTCAGACTCATAGGGATTTTTCTGTTTTCAGCCTTCCCAGTGCTGGGATTACAGGCATGTGACACCACGCTGGGTCTTGGTGGCTGGCTCAGTATGCCTGTGGGCAGGGCCAGTGTGGCATGTAGTGCCAGGGTTCAAACCCTAGTCTCCGTGCTTGCCTAAGCAGGCATGCAGGCATTTATTCTGGTGAGCTGTCTTGATGGTTCTGACCACGCACTTTCTAGCAAGTGTTTATGAAGCATCATCTAGCATGGGGCTTACTTTAACAATTGGTATTAGATGAAGCAAAGACCCATTTCTGCATGAAGCATACAAACTAGAGTAAGACAGATGCAAACAATGAATCTAAAGAAACCTGAAACTAAAGTATGTTAGATGGTGTTATGCTTTTTCTCTAGGTGTCCCCCCAAAGCCTCATGCAGTTATGGGGTGGACTTCTAGAGTTTGCGATTAACTCATGATCCACTGGGATTATGGGTGATTCAAGGCTGGGATTATGAGTCAGAGTACTGCGGGGATTATGGGCATGAATGCTACACCCAGCCTGAGGCGGATAGCCCGAATGTAACATAAGAGAGATAGAGGGACAGATTTCCTCTCTGTTGCCATTGTTGCTGCTACTCCTCCCATTTTTCTCTTGCTATTTTGCTGCCTTCCACTGCTGTGAAAGGTTGTTCTCTGCCATGTGCCACTCTGCCTTGGAGCCAGCTGAGTGTGGACTGAAACCTTCAATAACTGTGAGCTAGATAAATCTTTCCTTCCTTCATTTTGAGTGTCAGGTATTTGTTCCAGCAACAAGAGAAGAGTAAGTGAGACAGATGGCAAGCCTGGCCACATGAACAGGCAGAGGCCAGGGTAGGAGGAGCAGGTTGGGGAGCATGGCACACACAGCAGGGTGGCTGGGGACTCACACATCTCAGACTGGCTTGGACTTACTCTGAGTTTGCAGCCTTCATTCAGACACAGCTTCCTGACAAGGGCACCGATTACGATCATAACGGTCTCTCTGATGTCATTGCTCCCAAAGGAACCTTTGAACTTCCCCTGTAAGCCAAGCAGAGAGAGAAAAGGCTCATGAAGATACTAAAACATTTCCAAGGGAAACTTACAGTGAAGGAATGAAGTCGTACTACCAGGGAAAAGGTTTTCACAGCCATTACTGTTGATCAGATTCTCAGATAGCTCCAATATAACATTTAAATATTGGAAAAGCGGTATCCTTTCAATGTATATGTATAAATACCATAAAAAATTTTTAAGTCAAAACCAATTTTTAAAAATGGCTTACTGAAACATAACTGACACATTTTCTTCTTAAGTTTTGTTTCATGCCATGTGACATGATGAATGACAGTTGCTGTTTCCACAAGGTCTGATTTATGCTAGTTGGTAGGACTGGAAAGACAGTAGGGCAGTAAAGTACTGCACAGGAGTGACTGACAGGCAGCAGAGAAGTGCAGCCTTCAACCTTATCAAACACCTTCCAGCTGCTGCCTACTTGCTTGAGAGGTCTTTCATTTCACCTCTGGCACCTGAGGGTCTGTATCGTCCCAGGGTCCCCTTAACTTACGAGGAGAGCTCTCAGGAGCTCTTCGTCAGGATGGGAGGCAAATCCACAGGCATAGAGAAACCTCTCCTGGAGAACCACAGTGCTGTCACTTTTGAAGTCCAAAAAGTCCAAAATGGCTTCTAGGGAGGCTGGGGTCTGAGCAGAGGTGACAGCGTCCACAAGCTGCGGGCTGGGAGAAGGGCACAGTCACCACCAGCAGAGCATGCCTGGGGCCAGGGGTCAGCACTGCACCACCCGGGCTCTCCACTGGGCTCAGTTTCCTGGAGAAGCCATTCTTTTTAAAAAAACTGAACAACCACCACAATAAAGAATAAGACTTTCTGAAAAGACTTCTTCTCTATTTCATTTAAATCTCTCTTTTAACTCTTCTCTCTCTGATTTAAGCAATATATCATCAGAACATACAAATTAGTTTGACTCTATTAACCTAAAACAAACATAAGCTGATGTTTGTAAATTAAAATTATTTAAATGAAACTATAAATTAGGCTTAAATTCTTTTCTATATGAGTACTACACAAAAAGGTTTGGTCCAAAAAATTGACTTTTTCTCTAATTAACTTTGCAAATACACATATTTCTCAAATGCAAAACAATCAGAATAGCCTCATCTGAGTAAAAAAATATTTTAACTTTATATCCAAGGGAAATTTTGCTGATTTTTAAAAGTAAAATCATGGTACAGCTCTATGTTTAATCACAATGAATATCGTGAGGAGTGTGAAGTTTTTGAAACTAGCTGTCACACTGATGAATATGTGTATACAAATTCTATATACTTCTCCACATAAAGAGTCAAACACATGCTTAACACTTCATACTTTAAAAATTATAGCCCTCCACGCTGGCCCCGCACCCAGGCATGCTGAGCCAGCCACAGAGTCTGGGCGTGGTGGCGCTTGCCTGTTATCCCAGCACTGGGGAGGCTGAAAACAGGAGGATCACTAGTAGTGAGAACTTTTAGCTCCTGTACTAAATACATTTTAAAAAATTATATATGTATCTCCTTTACTTTGATCCTAACAAATAAAGCAAAGATGAAGAGACCATGTTTAAAAAATGACTGCTGGTTAAGTGCTGTGTTAGAAGTTTTAGGTGTGCAGCAGCCTGTTTTTAATTTCTTCATCTTTAAAATGGAGTGAAAGGCCAGGGAGATGGCTCAGTGGCATAAGCACCTGCCTGGCAAGTGCAAGGTCCTGAATTCGATCCCCAGTACAAAAAAGAAAACAGTGGAGTAAAACATCATATTCATCTTAGGATTGTTGGGAGGCTCGAATTCCATAGCCAAATGCAGAACTTGGAAGCTATAGCTCTAAGTGATTAATATATATTAGCTGTTAACACAGTCACCGTTTTAATTCACTGACTATCCTGGCAGTTTAATTCTAATTTTCCCTTACAAACGGGGGTGCAGATTCGGAGACACCTGTCACCTGTTCAAGGTCACACACACCAATGGTGCAGCCTTTTGTAACTTTGCCGCCCATGAATCCATCCTACAAATGCAGCCAAAAGAGAGGGGAGCCGCAAGTCATGTAAAATTAGGAAACATTAAAAGAAGCTCATGAAGAACATTATCAGATGGAAGATTGTCTGCAACAAGGACAACTATGTACCTTAGCCTTAACCCATATTTTCCAGCCTGGTGAACTAGAATCTCTAGTTGTTGGTGTACCTGTCATTGCCTTGCCAGTTACAGGAGGCCTGACATAGGCAGCTCTGGAAATGACACATTGCCCCTTCATGCCTCTGACTGTCTTACTTTAAATAAAGGAATTATTATTCTGTTTTATGCCTATTAAAAGTGAGGCTGAGAGAGATTAATAGAAAATGACTTGCTTAAAAGATACACAGTTACTGGAAGTCAGAAAATTTAAAACTAGGTCATCTAATTTTAGTGTATTCTGGTCTCCTTTCTATTATATCATGCTACATGTATGTTACATATGGTGCTGTACAGTAGTGGGTAAATCTTATATTAAGCAGCCATCCAAGGTATTGTCATCTGACGATTTTAAGGTTAAGGGTTTGTGCCATTCATAATCTCAACTGAAATCTAAATCCTGTATTTCTCAGTATTTTTGCCTTGATTGTAAGACAAAGTTCCTCTACCAGTGTAGTTAAAGATTCTATGAGTACAACAGAATCTGTTTAATTCATGTTTTTGCATTATCTTGCAACTTCTGGTTTAAATATTTAACTTTGAGGAAAGTAGCCAGTTTGTGCTTAACTGTAGGTAATTCTAATCTCCAAGTATTCTAAAGACAGGTGAATAACAAATGCAATCAAGAATAAATACAATTTTCAAAAAACAGTTAAATTATCTTCTGACACTGTAGCTGCTAAGGTGTGTGCATGCATGTGTGTATACATTGACCAATTTCCACTTTCCCTTCATTAGTGGCTAATTTTCACTATCTGTCAAATTAAGTAAGCCATAAACTATATGATTAATTAGAGCAATTTGCATCCTGCAGCTAAGTTTGTACTTATAGACAACCTGTATTATACGCAAAAAAAATCTGTATTTATTTTTTAAAAAAATAATTTTAAGGACTGGGGAGATAGCTCAGTAGAATAAGCACTTGTCGGACAAGTGCAGGGTCCTGAGTTCAACCCCTGGTACCGCAAAAAAAAAAAAAAAAAAAAAAAGAATTTTAGAGTTGAGTCACCTCTTTTCAGTACACATGAAAATGAATCACACTTGGACTAAATGTCAAATAACATAAGAATTTATTTTTTCTAAATTCCTTTGGCTATTTAGCTCAGATTTCAATTTCTATATAAAATGTGGCTTCAATTGGATCTTTAGTGGATAACTTTTTAGTGGAAAGCCATAGCTTTTCTGTTTGTTTTAATCAGTTCTGAAAAATTTTTCAGTGTGAATCGACAGCTTAGGAACAGGATTTTAAACACAGTGAGGCAGCCGTGGGTCCAGTTGCCACAGGGAGCCCTGGCCTGGCCTCTCTGTATACTGACGCATAATCATTTAAACTTATAAATACAGAAATACACATTGTGAGTCACTGTCAATAACATTCTTGCATTTGTAACCAAGTGACTGTCTGGTACCCCTACAGAGCAGGACAAGTAACTTGGAGACAGGGCAGTTGGCATTAAAGGAGTCCTACTTTAATAAGAATAGCACTCCAGAGTGTGGCCTAATGCCACATCCAGCTGAGGAACTTACAGGACATCTTGACTTGCAGTTTTCAGGATGTGCAGGATGTCTTCTCTCTGTGAAGTCCTGAGGTGCTGCACAAAGGCCAGGAAGCTCCTGACGGCCTCAGCCTTGGAGAGGTTGTCTGGCTGCAGGTGCTTCCTGACTGCCTGCCAGTGCTCTGAGAGCTGCAAAACAGGCTACAGCTTTTGCTCTGTTCTACTGAACATTCCCACTTATTATTTTTATTTCCCCAGGAGTAAAATTCTCCTAACGTGTGACAAGAAGAGAAGCTTCCATGTTTTAGCTCAGTGTGAGTTCTGTCTCCCAGGCCATCCTCCAGCCCTTCTGATGCCCACGTGCTATGCTGGGCTGCCCTGGGAAAGGGGAGCATTTGTACCTGCTAGCTGACAACCACAAGGGATGCCTGGCCCCTGTAGGTCATGGGCCTTACACCTGAGGTGAAGCCTTCACTACCCTAGTGAAGGTTTGCAGGAATGTAATTCACAGCAGGATATTTCAAAGGGGAAAATATCAGAACTGCTGAAAAATTGCATTAAATTGCATTAAACTTCTAATTTACCTATACTTCCCTGAAAATCTATTTTATAACCATTCGTGCTCCCTATCTTGTCTTTTTTTTTTTTTTTTGCATCATTACTATGAAATTCAATGCTCTGCTATTAACAATGCATCACTTAATCATTGTTTACATCTGTCTGGGAAAGTAGTAATTAGATAAAGATAATTTGCACACATCAGCAATTATTTTACAATATTAAGTAATTGAAAAATAGTAAGTAATCGTAATTGATGACTTCTCTTTGAAATAAACTAAAGAGCTTACTCTTCATACTTTACTACTTGTTGTCCATTGTACAGAACATGTTAAATTCCACAGGGCCTCAGATTGCCACACTGCAATAATCACCATGCCTGCATGTTCTAAATTACTCATTCCTTCTACTAAGGAAAGGACACTTATATTTTCTTTTTTGCAAATCTCCTTTCACTATCTAATCTTAAGACAGTCCAGTGACAAATTCCAGCTGTATTTAGCTTGATATTTACTGAGCCATTTCTGAAAGCAAAAAGTACACCAACATTAATTCAGATCTTACAGAGTTGCAAGAATGGCATACTTAAATAAGGAGAACAAACTCTCAGTGCCATAAATTTTTCCTGCAATAATTAAGAAATAGTTATCAAGAATCTTCGAGGGCTCATAATGTTTAAAACTATGAGAAGAGGAATAAATAGTTCAAAGCATAAGAAAAATATGTAGTGTTGTTAGTCACTTTCCTAAATATCTTTGGATATTTAGAGCACACTACAGTATGGAAGGGAAGAGCACCCTAACTTCAGCACAGAACTTGAAATACTCTGTCAGCCCCCAACAGCAAAACCCATTAGAAAAATTACATTAGGACATTAAGTGACACAGGGAAAAAATAAAGTTTAAAAAACAGTGTTTTGAATATGAAAATTCTTCTCCTATAATGCAGTTTGATTAAGTTTAGAAATTAATAAGGAATAAGCATCTTGTACATAAAGTAAACTATGATAAGAGCTCCTAGTGATTCCACCTTTCTGAACACCACCCTATCCCAAGGGAGGAGTACTTTCCCATAACTGCCATGGAGCCTGAAGCCAGAGTTTGCTCTTCTGTCAAGTGATTAAATATTAGGAAATTCTGGGTCCAAAACATTTTTGTGATCATATGTCACAACTCATTCACACAATATTTCTGGGATTGAAGTGTTACACTTTGCCTCATGGGATGGGATATCTCGTTTCTGGCTATATTGGTGGAGCACACTACAGTATGGAAGGGAAGAACACCCTAACTTCAGCACAGAACTTGAAATACTCCTTCAGCCCCCAACAGTAAAACCCAAGATCCTAAGATCAGTAAAGCATCCTCCTTGCGGACAAATAACTAGTAAGTGGTAAAACTTTCAAGATTCAGACCCTTGTTCAGGTTCTTGACATAATATATTTCTCCTTGTCTCATTAGGCCCTTTATCTTCCCTGAATTCTAGGTGTAGCTTTCAGAAGATTGCCCACTTTTTATTAGAGATGAGTGGGTGGTAATTTTTGTTGTGTTATACTTCATTGAGGGTGCACGTTTTTGGATTATGATCATCCTAACTCTGGCGGCTGGCAATTGGTGCTTTAACCCTAGAATTAGTTGGTGTTTTCACTGGAAAGAAAAGGAAAACAAAATCTTAAGCCAGTATTGGTCCCCTATTCCTCATACTTACTGAAGGGCATTTTTTACACGTGCTCTGGAAGACCTGCCCCACAATGGGAATGGCTGTATACTTTGAATCAACTGCTTTAATTACGGTGGCAACCTGCTTTCCAGGGATCAGTCTGGGACCTGCTTCAGTTGTTTTCAGCTCTAATTTTTGCCTGAATAACACCAAAAAGAAATAACACTTCATTAGCTTCCTTATGAGTGAACAAAATGTTAATTGCCATGTTGATGGGCTTATATTAATATATTCAAGTTGTGTAAGTTCAAGCTTTGACATCTCCAGAGGTAACTAAAACCTGGATATAATTGTAAGTCTTTCTGAACAATAATCTTATTCAATTATTTGAAAATTTAAATCTTAGCTTTCAAAACAGTATGACAAGAGAATAGAAGAAAAAAATTTGCCTGGGTGCTGCATAAGACATGGAATGTCAGCCCTTCTGCGTTTAGTACAGCTTTCTGGAAATGATACTTTATTTTTATTTATTTATTTTTTTTAATGTATCAGGTATTTAATTAGGTTCTTAGTAAGAAATTTAGAACACTAATTTATGAGGGTAAATTCCATTTGTCAGAGCAAAAATGGATTGCAGGTAGCCCCGGAGCTGAGGAACACCTTTGATTTTTGCCAAAATCTGTGAGTCCACCGCTTTCTGATCCACCTTGCGCTGCTCT